ATGGAACGCGGACGGTCGACAGCAGTGACCGTTTTACAAGGTCCAATGATCATCGAAAAATGATAGGTACTGTGACGAAACCCTTGAACGGTAGCTGAACGTCGGTTATGGTTATGTCCCCGAGGTTAGGACACGTCCTCAAGGTTGGGGATCTATCCCTGCACCCACGTCCGGATATGTCCTGAGGTTAGGAATATGCCTTCGAGATTGGTATGTCTCCTAAATGTTAGGGATATGTCCTCCAGGTTGGTGACATGTTTCCGGGGTTGGACATATGTCCCCTAACGTGATACATCCCTAGGTCGAGAATCCATCCCCGACGCCGGTGAGGGGCCCAAGCCGGGCAAGGCTTGCTGCACCCTGCCAGGACAGTACGTGTCGGCCGACACGTCCGATGGGATCGCACGATCATTACGTATCTAATTCTATGCGACCTTTACTATCGGAAAACCAGCTAGAAAGTGCTGCTTTTCGATAGAGGGAGAAGATTTTGTCATCTCAGATGCTGTTTACGATACAATTCTCCGTGAGGACAACTTCATTTCGGGGTGCCCACGTGTTTTCAAGACTGTTATGAGACAACGGTGTTTATCGTGCTGTAGCTTGTACAGGTCAATGTCTGAATGTGTGTAGCTGTATATAAATATAGAAACATGGTTAATCTTTACATATATTGGACACAATACAGGATGAGGAATAGGGTCATAAAAGTGTAGTAGAATATGGTAAAGATTGCACCATCGCACTCAAGCCGCGACTAGTCAACGCGAGCTTCATTCGATAGCGTAACCTGGACCCCGTTCTCAGTGGACGTGGATCCGGCATCTCCACTCTTTAGGAGCTCGTCCAGCTCTTAGCATATTTCCAAGGTGTGTCCTCCAGAATCAAGTAGCGGAAATACTTCGAATGACATAATGACAATAATAATGCAGGTGAGGTGGGAGAGTTACCGAAAAATAACCACGTCCTTGCTCACAACAACGTTGTCTTTCGAAATCTCTGGAAGACACAAATTTTCTCAAGCATGTGGACCGATAAGTAAGGTTGTAATCAGCTGATTATTGACGTTGTAGGAAGAACAAGGTCATCTGAGCCACTTCGGAGCCGTTGGCAGCATGGTAAGAAAACTGATGACTCACTCCCTTCATCAAAATTTGGCTCGTATTCGAGGTATTAGATTTACAAAGGGGAGGATAAGTCTGCAAGATGGTTTCTTGTTGTTAAGGGTGGTGCGATGAGATGAGATAGAAAGTCATGCAATAATGGATTATCTTACTTTACGAGTTACGTTATACCTACTTTCTATGTAGATTTCAACTACGTTTATTACACGGAACATTATCCGCCAAGAAGAGAGGTGAAGGCTGCGGTCATCGTAAGCAACTACAAGATTAGTTGTTATTACAGGGTTGCCGAAAAGTATAGGACGCGGCTTTGACCGCTTGCTGGCACTGAGCCGTGGAGTATTTTGAGTGTTTCGAAACATTCGAAAGCTTTGAAACTATGTAAGAAGCACCATAAGTTGTTTGGTCCAAAGTTCATCTGAACTCTCGCCATGAAGATTTTTTGCATCGACCCATTACCAAGAGGCTGCCCAATGACGGTCTCTGAAATTGCAACTTCGGAAAGCGACTCGGTATTCCCTCTTCAACTCTTTGAAACATGTTCGGTGCTCTCAAGGTTCAAGCACACGTCTCTGGGATTGCGAAAAGTGGAAGTTCAAGAACTGTGCACACTCAGAGGATTGGGGCAATCACCTAAGAGGATGGCTCACAACGATGAAGCCAGCGTGAGTCACATCGCTTTTGATCTCAGGATCTGCCGTCACTCCTTCCAGAAATCTTGGGAAGCAATCATTATTTGAAGGGGTTACCGACTCTTTCTGTGCTGGTTTTTATTGGAGCAACTCTAATAGAGATGATTAGATTGTAGATTGATTGTAGATTGATTAGATTGATTAGATTGTAGATAGAATTGTAGATTCACTGATAGAATGCAAAAGTTTCTGCACGAGCTCGAGGTGCGCCGCATCTCTCTTACGGATTGGGTTAATGAGAAAATTTTCGAACTAAACTTCTTTGCGACCACCAAAGTCAGAGGCAGTTGTTGCCAAAAAGTGAGAGCAAGATAACGTCTAGTTTACAACAGACTTTCTCCCGAAGGTGTGGTAGTTTGTGACGGGGTAACATCCAAAAGTGCAGCTCCATTGGAGTTCATCTTCCACAAATGTTAAAATTAACTCGAAGGTCTTGCAAAAGACTTAATGAGGTACGGTATGTTGTTCTGGATTTACGAGCATTTTGCTCAATGATCGTTTGCTCTTCAATGAAGCTGGGCTCCCTAATACGCGTTCAAATCGACCAAAGCCATCCTGGGCGCTCACTTCCCGGGCCACTGGAGCAAGGAATTGTGACCTTCTTCCTCTCAGGCCCTTAACCCGATGGACTCCTCTATGTGAGGATGTTGTAGAGCAAGACCTCATAAGACTTCTCCAGCTCGGTGGGTGCTCTGAAGTTAGCGCTTCAGAAGAGGTGGGACGACATCGCCGTTGGCTACCTGCGGCGCACTGCTGATTTTGTCGTTGGACGTCAGAAGGCCTCTCTCAAAGCAGAGTCGTCAAATTCAAAGCACCTTCTGCACAAGTGATCAAATAGCTTAACTCTATCTTTGTGTGAAGTCGGTTTCCTGATCGAGTCTCTTTCTTGGCTTTTACACACAAAAACATGGCGTCCTATACTTTTTCAGCCACCGTATATTTGAGCGATCTGTTGGCTCAATCTTGACCGGACCTTTCCACTGCGTCGATCTGTTAGACGACCTGTGTCGTCAAGCAGAAAAACGAAGTCTCTGATGAAAATGTTCGTTGGACGTACCTTATTTTGTAGATCGCATCCTTTTGCAGAACGACGATTCTTGCAATATCGTATCCAACTCCTATTATGATATTGTTTAGTTTGGCAGCGAACTTTTCAGCGAAGCTCCGATGCGAATATGCTAAGCTGAAGTTCACGAAGTATATCACTCCGTATTATTGGACGCCTACCATAAACAGCGAAGAAAGGGCTTTAACCTATTATCGCGTTTTCCTGCAGTTGTATGCGAAAACAACAAGTTGGACAAAATCTGACCATTGGGGTCTGGCCTCCGGAAAGAATGCTGCTAACTAATTAGTGATCACCTTTACCAGTCGTTCTGCTTGCCCATTAGCCTTACGGCTCTGTACTAATGCTGAATTTATTCGTAATGCTGAGGGTTATATGGATCTTACCAGAAGGTCTCAGGGAAGTGCCAAGCTTTTTCAAAACGGTCTTTTCGCATGATATAGGGGCACATGCGGGAACCACAGAACCATGGTTTATTTTTCCTGAACGGCCCTCTGAATACCAGAAAAGGGGTCCCTAGTTCGATTCCTCGTGGTGACAAATTTTTGCATTTCGAGTTGACGTTCCAAAATTCGCGCAAAATGGAGTTAGCATGAATAATTAGTACCATATTCATGATTAGGACCGTCAGTAACCCTTACAAATAGACTTTGATTAAAAAGCTGGTGGAAAGTTGTGACACCAAAGTGGGCCGTCAACTCGAAATGCAAAAATTTGTCACCACGAGGAATCGAACTAGGGACCCCCTTTTCTGGTATTCAGAGGGCCGTTCAGGAAAAATTGAACATGGTTCTGTGGTTCCCGCATCTGCCCCTATATCATGAGACCGTTTTCAAAAAGCTTGTCACGCCCTGAAAGACCTTCCTGGTTAGAATATGACTCGCTGGCGTAATTCGGACCACGATCTAAGACGACCTCGTTTAGGATGGGGCATGGGGTTCTTGATTAGAGCTTTCACCATTGTATCAGTGGCCTGATCTTCTCTCGATATACATACTATGGATTTACCAAAGCAATATACCTTATCGAGGTAAATTTATTCCACCCTTACATCGAGGTAATAGTATTCCAATCATCTGTGTGAAAACGATCGAAAGGTCGAATTGGCGCCGGAAAACTTTCCCTTTCCTCTCGGATAATACCTTTTTGATGTGTTTTCACCTTTTGGCATGTTGTACTATACTGCTACTAATTTTTGTTCAATCGACGGTTTGCGACGGTCGGAAACCGTCGCAAACCGTCGGCTCGCCATAACTCTTTAAAAAATGGTTCGCTCGACCTGCAGTTTATACCATCTGATAGCTCTGCTCGAGATCTACAAGATGGTTAAATTCAATTTCTGAAAGAGCTTCATCTAGGATTGCGCCATGCACTCGACCTCCATCCCGAGAAGTAATGAATATACTTTGTATGTGATGCGCATATAAGTCCTCCTATGCAGCCTGATCATCCCACAGAAACATGGATCTCAACACCCTCAGAATACGCCACGTACCCAACCGGTCCACCATATGGTGAGATTGAATGAATGTTTTTTTCGAATTTCACGATCTTTAATTCGTTCTAGAGCGCTAATTGGCTAACCGTGCGCTGATCAACCCATTCTTCCACTCCAAATGAGAATCTTCGAACAGTTTCCAGCAGTAGTAGTAGACCTATTATGTGACATTCCCCACTTTTAGAGGAGATGATTTGCGGAAACCTGAGAAGATAGCGAGGAATTCTTTCCACCGGCGTAGACTACGGTTACTTTTCTGTAAGAATATCTGTCGGAATCAGAATAATCGAAAGGGCCAGCCACCACACCACGAAGAAGTCCAGGCAATTGCCCGACCCGCCTCAAATCTCACTTTTGTTTCTATCAGTACTTTATTATTTTGCAGTTATACTTTATATTTAATTGGTTTCCAATTTAATTAGTCAAGTTTGAGGACGTCTATGGTGCTTGACAACTACGACTCAACAAGTTGGTGTTACAATGATAACAAATGAGATGTCTTGTCGTGGCGGTACCGCTCATCAGCGATTGTGCTATTATATCAAGACAAGAAGGCCCAAGCTGTCTATAATCGACCGATATCGCTGCAACCCGTTACAAAAATACAATTATTTATCATCTTAAGGATTTTGTCTGATTAATTGGTCCATCTTGATAACGTCTATGTTTGGAATTCCTGTTTTGAATGCTTCTGCAGCATCTTTCTCATCAGGAGACACCTGTACTGTGTAGATTATGCGTAAGCTATATATCCCACAAAAATCATATAATTATATTACCTGCTTAGAGCAAAGTACTATTCTATCCTTTTTGAATGGCCCTTTAGCACGTACAACAGCAACCGTGAGAACTTTGCCAGAATCAACGAAATCTGTTACAGGTGAGACACTGAAATGATTGCGTTCAGGGGCAATGGTCACAGAAGGGACTTTTTTCCACGAGCTTCCTCACCTGTACAAATCGACATCAGTGCACTTGACTTTGATGGCGAAACGTGCCTTTGTGTTGTTTGTGACTCTAAAAATCTGTTGTCCTTCTTCAAACTCCCATTTCAGTTCCATGGGAGAGATTTGCAGTTTCGCATCTGTAATTAAAGTAATTAAATATGTGTACTTGTGTGTAAATGTACATGTTTTTTTGCTGATATGTGGATAATTAAACTCTGTATTGTCTGCCCGTTAAAAGTGAAAATTGTCTGTTTCCTTCTGCCTCTTTCAGTGATGGTTGCAGAAGCTGCAATTGGGAAAGGACATAGTGGTCCTACTTTCAGCGGCAGTAGTGCCGCAAATAGCTCACACGCTCAAATGAATCAACTGGCGCAAGCTTTGTGATACTAAGTCCTGATCGTGAATGTTGCCCTCTTTTTAGCGCCGGCATTTGACGCCACAAGCTTTTTCCACCGAATTCATAAGAAACCCATATGGGGGTGGTCAGCCCTCATCCATCCTCAGCCGTCATTGAATGCGACTTAGTTTGTGACCTGTACAACAAGGACTTCTATGACCTCTATCAGCAGAATGTGGAATACAGACATTGTAGTAAGAGAAAGAGCAAAAGCAAACAGCAAGGAATATGATGACAAAAAGAAGGTATAACGAGATGGAAAGACCCAAGGATTGATGAAGCCAAATGACGACGCAACAGGCAAACTTAAAAATGGAGAGGGTCTTTGAGGGACTCAAGCGCGGCTGCGACCGCTACACGGACGCGAGCAGTAACGATTTGAGAGTGAATCTTTGGAGAAATACTTCCCTTTCGGTTTTTCCTCCGCCTCAGCGGCTTAAGCCCTTAGTGTCAGCTACAGAGCGTGTTAAAAGCACCTGTGCTGAAGCACTCTCCAAAGGAATAAGCGCCAAAAATAAAAATGCTTACACTTCCCCTAGTCTCCCTAAAGCTCAGTCTTGTGGGTACTCAGAAGGAGAATGCTGGGTGTACTCTCTTCGCATTACGGTGCTCCCTTACCCTTTCTCCTCCCCCTCCCTCCACAGTACACCATCGCCTATCGTTTTTGCCAAAGATAGCCCTACAGTGTCAAAGCGAATTTTGAGAAGAAGGTTGCAGATGCATTATGCCGGAACTCCATTTTCTCAGGGCCTGATGCGAATTCGAAGCCCACTGAACTTGAAAATAAAAGTTGAACGCCTGCAGTCGATGCTTCGATTGGACAACGAAGGTGAATGTGGAAACAATGGTCAAGAATGCATTGTGGAAAATCGGCATTCAAGGGAACCTTTCACTTCAGCAGCCATGTCGTATAGATGTGAAGGAGCAGTAGGGACCGTCGAGCAAACCAGTACTGTCAGAAATGAACCCCTCTAAAAAAAGCGTTTGGTGATATAAAAATAGTAAGATTCGAATTTTTGTGGAGGTATATATCTTAACAGAATTTTGTAAAAGTGAACAGCGCTTAGTTGTTGTGGCTGCCCTGCATTAGATAAGTGAGTGTGTGCATCGAAGTTATCGAACCAGAGACTCTCCTTCCTACGGTTTCCTTTATAAGAAAGAGAAAGCTTGACGAAGTATGTGCTTCTGAGAAAGCTGCATTTACACAACCGAGCTCCGATGCGCCGCAGGGAACATACAGGGGGCAATACAAAAAGGCATTTTGTCTCCAGACTCAAATGGATTTAATCACACTTTGCTCAGCTCAAAGCGTGTGCTCCCAACTTTGAATTGAAGAGCGCATTCATTTCATGAGAGAAATCTTCATAGTGGCCATCTACGTGGATGGCATATAGAAAAGTTTGCTCCGGAAACATGGTGCTCTGCTAGAGCTCAATGGGGTTCTCGACTAATAGTGAACCGTGAAGACGGGTTCGTAAGGGCGAGTTCCAAGGGGGGTTTTCGCATGGTTAGAGCTCATGTCCCTGCAGGAAACTATCCCAAAACTATCCGCGGTGGAATCGATAACAAGAATATCGACTGTACGAGGAGCTTCAGGCCTGGAGCAGATACTGTAGGCCCGTCCCCTGAGCTCGACGACCGCGGTCAACAGATGACGCATATCTCTGAAAAAGGGTCGGAGGGTGAGTAAAGGGAGACTTGGCGCATGCATTAGCAGATTATAGGAGGGACATTCAGAGGAGTATGTTTTTTGCTGAGAAGGTACGTCAACTATAGCAATCTGCTGACCGAAAAACACGCTGGCAAAATTGTCATTTTTTTTTGGGCCCGCCTCCCTGTAATTTACTGCCGCGCCGCAGAATTTTTTCCTTTCGCCCACATCGGATCCGCGTTCCCTCTAAACCTGACCCGGCCGTTCCCCGTCACCTGACATGGTTGGGTGTTTATAACCGCCATACCTCTGCGACCTTCCACTAGATGAGCGCTCTGTCTTCTGAGCTGAAGTCCTCGACTATTGGAATGGAAGAGTAGGGATGCATTGGGAATGGAAGGGGGAGGGAGGAGCGTAAGGAAGATAGGACCTAGTCTCTCTCCGAGGCAAGGGTGCAACTCCCTTTGAGGAAACGCCTTCACAACTGGAAAACACATGCTACGAACTGCTGAGTAGAGCTAACGCTCCTTCCAGTAAGGTAATGGTCCGCAAATGCAGCGGCTGGCTGTCAAAGAAGAGGGGAAAAAAAACAGCCTCCAGTGGTGCGTTGCCGGCTCAACATGTTTCGTCAAACGAAAGGTTCGAGGCCATATAATTAAGGTTAGGGAACTTAGGAACTCACCGTAAGCGCCGGTATAGAAGGAGCAATAGCAGTTATTCTAATAAAGAGAACTGCGCTAAAGGCAAGCCCCGGGCAGAAAATGCTTTATAAGGGTGTATCGTATTGATGGGTGAGCTGCGGAGAGAACTGAAGGTGGAAAAGAAAACAAGCAAAGCCAAGGAAACGCTGAATTACGGACCTAAACTCTTGAAGGTAAGGCGGTTAAGAATACGGACGGAGAGAAGACAAAAGACCAGAGATAAAGCGCTGTATGAGAGAGCTTGTGCTCACTACATCAATCTCGACGGGTTGGGAGATTAAATTAAAACCCTTTTCCCGAATTTGCATTTCAAGCATTTGTCTACTTCATAACGGTATTTCTGACTTATTTCTTCAGTAGTCCCAGGATGTTTCCTGCTAAGGGGAAAAAGGCACATATAAATTTGAGGGGCTCAGGACAATCTGTCTACGCGAGGCCTATGGCTCGTTCAGGCAGTTTGATGGTGCGAGTTTGGAAGCGCCACCACGGTGGCAACACTGCACAGCATCTCTGTATTCTTTAGCCTACTTTTAAAGCTTGAGTCCAATTAAATCGACAACAGGGTGTGTTCAGGAAGAGGTACGCCAACCCTTGGTTGACGAAGCCTTGTAACCCATAAATTCATTGGAATCGACCTTGTCATCTGATCCTCTTAGGACCGGCGTGATATCATGACACAATGACCTACAAGACTCCTGAATCAATAATCGCGTCTGATTAAGAAAGAAAAACCATTATAAACGAAATAATAAAATGGTTCGTTTCGCTCCTTCCTCAGACGAACCTTATTATTTCGTCAATCCCCGGAGCTCATCAGTGAGTTGGGATTGGCGAAATAAAGACACAGGGGAAAGACGAATAAACCTTGAGTAGACGTACAAAATTATCATGCAGAGGAGCATGCAATGAAATTAATTGTATATTGAATAAAGTTATATAAATTGAAAAGTATATGTAAAAACTTTTATGAAATTAAAAAGGTGGAAATGTTTGTAGCTGTCCACTGTTAAGCATAAGCTATTGATTGAGTATTCCTTTAACTAGTTTATTAACATTTTTATAATTATTAGCCATTGAGAATTTATAGCATATAAACTTATTTTTATAAATACACTTAACTATATTAGATATAATAAAGTCCTCATGATAACCATTTCCTAGTAACACTCGTATGAACTCTATTAGTTTCTCGGTAAATGTGTCAAATACAGAACAAGTGTTAGCTATTCTGAGTGTTTCAGTGTATATAACGGAGCCTTTATTATTTATGGAGATATTTGTGTCATTATGTGGGAATCTAATAACCTTGAACTGAAAGTCATCCGTCTTGTTAGTATAGAGGGGGAGGTGGGGCGAAGGGGCGTGGCGGTGGAGTTATTGTGATTATACATATTGTTGAAGAGGCGACGAGTAGTAGTACGGGTGGTGGGGGGGGTTACTGGAATGTGTTTTATTCAATTCAAGTTGGTATTCATAGTACACTTGCTGCGGTAGGCCGCTGGAATCTCCAATTCTATTCTCTCGGTTTGGGTAGGGTGTGATGCACTAAGCGAAATGCAGTCCTATAGCTGCCTGATGGGCAGGAAGACTCTATTTTTATTTCGTATCAAACCGATAGTTTGAGTTGGCATGGGAATTGTATGTCGATAAGAGAGGGTAAGAGCAGGCTAATGAGGGCACTGAAATCTACTCCTCGGGTTACGCCTTTGTTTTTGTCTTGAAAATATATGATTTCGCCAAATTATACAATAACTAGTTTTGTTGTAGACAGTATTCGTGTGATGAGAGTAGATGAGCCAGTTTTGCTTCTAAGGTCAACTCCAGTGAGCGCAGCATGGTCCAAGTGACGCTTGCAATAGAGACGAAAATGCTATAGTGGACGGCAAAAGTCACGTCCTCTGACCACTTACGTAAGACTCACAAAAGAAAAGTTGCTTAAAGGCATACCCCACGATCTTTGTGGCTCTTGCACACGAATGTGAATGTATTGGTGCGAAGTGGGCCGGCAGTAAAGAAAAAAGGAAAAGAATCCGTCGAAAACGCTTAGGTTAAGGGCTCACTCACCTTCCTAATCGGCTGTGCTAAGGGAATGAGAGACTAAGCGCGGAGAGGAGAGTATGAGGCGAGAGAGCGCTACAGATGAGAGAGCGCCAGACAACAGCCTGATAAGAGAAAAAATCTGCAGCTTCAGCAGCTTACTTTGCAAGGCCCAAGCGCTCTTGTCGGTTGGTTTCCGTGCACGGGAACGCCACATTTGTGATTGTCCTCTAGGGGTCTATACTACAGACCGAAGGGAAGCGTTCACACGACCTCTGCCTGGGTTGTGCCTTTAAGCTCCGATTGCCGATAAGACGCGTAGAGCTGATTTTTGTGTTACGGTTCACATTCCTGGCGCAACTAATTACAGTGTCCGCAAGATCACCCTCAACCCTGGTGTTTCCCAAAAGTCTGAAAGAGCCGAAGTAGCGCTGGCTTGATGTGATGGTGCTGATGATTTATCCCACCACGAATTCAACCGAGAGAAGTGCTGTAAACTAAATATTAGGGAAGCGAACCTCGCTTAAAATTGGACAAACACACATATAAGAAGCATTCCTCTAACCATAAGGCTTCTCCGTCATGCCTAAAGCTAATTGTAAAATATAATAGACACAACATATACACAATTCTATAAAGAATCATTTCTGAGCTCTTCTCACCTGATAGACTAAGACACTTTAATATTGGCGGAATACTATGCGAGATCTACAGATCAGTCTGCATTTCCAAGAGGTAATTTGAAGGATCTCCGTAAGCTCTCAGATATACCTACTTTGTCACTAACCACTTTGCTGTCATTCTCTAGGGAGAGACGACACCAACGGCGCACGTATTGAGTTTGCGCGGCGTTGTCAAGTAAGTAAAACTACTTAGACTTCCCCATTCTATCACTTTATTTGGCCAACTCGTATCCAACAGCCGCATTAGAACACGTGCTGACAATCCAGCCTTCCTCAAATAAGCATTCATGAACGCTCAGCACTTTTCGCTTTTACTAAGTTAATTTTGCTTTGGAATGCATAAATTATTACGAAGTTCGGAGCGATTTATAATAGTAGCAGATTAGATTTCACCAGGGTGGTTTTTCAGCGACAAACTGTGCTTTTTCAAAACGTTCTCTCGCATACTGCAGGGACGCATGTCATATGTCTGACAACGCAAAAACCTATGTTATCCTCGTCTTCGCTCCTTCGATAACGTGCCACTTTAGTAGTACACAAACAGTTGTGGAAGATGCATGTACTGACGTTCGAGTACGCCCATGGAGCACTAAATTTTGCATTTTTGGTTGGCTAATTGTTGGCCTCAACATGGTACATGTCTATGAATATGACATCTGATTCTGATTTAGCCATTTGACACAAACCCGCAGGGCGCCAAATTAGAATGCAAAATTTGGACGCCACGGGGGATCAAACCAGCAACAGTACCTTTCGTAGCTTTGTTAGTACTTCTAAAACCGTTTAGACCGGTTATTAAACCGCAAACATTCGCTTCTTAGTTTCTTATACAT